TCTGTAATCCCAGTACCAAGGAGGCCACGTGAGCCATGGCAGTTTAGCTACTTAGTGAGACCCTGTGTCAAAATAAAAAATGCAGAGAGGGCCGGGGATTTAGCTCAGTGGTTCCGCCGCCGGCCTCACAAGCGCAAGGTCCCAAACTTGATCCCTGGTATCCAAAAAAATAAAAGCAGAGGGCTAGGGATGTAGCTCAGCACAAAGACCCAGGGGTCAATCCCCAGTACTGCAAACAAACAAACCCAACCAAACCTACCACCTATCAATATCACACTCTATGATACATTAAGTGTACCCTGAATTCTACTGAAATACACAATTATGAACCATGTTTAAGTTATACAATCTGATAAAAATTTCAACTATAAGACCAATATTACCAAATAATATGACTTACAGACATTCTGTTCCAATTAAATCAATATTCTGCAGCAAGAAAAGAGGAGCCATTTTCAAATAGAACTAAATACGATAAAGGATTTGTTCCAATAAATATTCTGAACTTAATTGGCTTAAATGGACCTAGGTGCTTCTATCTGTAAAAAGTGTTCACCATGACATTACCACATCCTTGAGCTGTTTATTTATTCCCCGTCTGGAGGCTGATTTACAGGCGATAAAGTGAGATCTCGACCCACAGCAGCAGCAAGAGCCATCTGCTAATGGAACTCTCAACTGAGAAGTGACCAGCGACACGAGGTGACTCTTCCCATGCGGGAGCACTCCCAGACCTCTCTGCACTTTGTCACAGTAACAATCACTAACATATGCATTAAGGAAAATTTAAATACATTACGACCCAATAAATACCACAATCAATCAATATACAATTTTCTTCTCTTCAAGATTTAATGCTCAGGTACCACATTATTAGTGCTCTACTATTATATTTACTTAGACCCAGACAATTTTTTAGCATGTTGGTACAAAGTTAACCATTTATAATCATATGATAATCACGTGTTTTAGAAACTAGCATTCCCATAGGAATCTCCATGCTGAAAGCTATGCAAAAAGAGTATCTTAAATGTGTACAACAAAATTAACTACCATTTTCAAATAAAACCAGTTTTTAAAGTAAAATTTAGTATTTAAGTTCATTTATTTATTTTATAAATCTTTATCGAGTTAGTCATCATAAACACAGACTAAAAGGCCAAAAATCCTATGTAAAATTTAATTTTTGATTAGCATGTACTGACTGTACATTTGAATGGAGCTCAGTGTGATCTTTTTAAATACATGCACAGCTTGTGCTGATCAAATCCCTGAGTTCACATTCCACCCCTGCACACTTACTAGGAATTTCATGTCCACATGTAAGCCCTTTTCTTTGTTTTCTTAAACTTCCAGACAAACATGCAAAACAGTGAACTCTAGGAACCTCTTTTCTTCCTAAAGTAACCTGCTTCAGACACTCCATTACAGAAAGAGAAATTGGCTAACGCACGTTGTGTCTTCATGTGAGAAAATGACCTGCTTAAATCTATGCTAAGGAATCTGCTATCACATTCATGGCTGAAATCAGTCACTTCAGTGAGGGGCCTGCAGATACCTTCTGCTGCTGTGGGTGTGTAGGGTACAGCGGAAGCCTGCTGTTAAACTCCAAGAATGCTTCAAGTCAGAGTAGCAAAATCTGGAATCTCAATCAGGTGAGGTACCACTCACGCCACCAGGGGCTGTGAGGAACAGAGACGAAGGTAGTGTGGGCCAGGATGTGGAGTCACAGAAGCCCACACACACCAGTGGACCCCAGGACCTCATTTCTGGTGATATGCTCAAGAGAAACAAAAGTGAAAACAATCTAAGTGTCCACCAATGGATGACCAGACAAACACAATGGACAGCTATCAGTCTTTTCTCCCTGAGCAGCACTCCCAGATGCCCCAACGCTCCCCAACTCTTCCCCTGCAGTCTCCCCAGTCTCCCTATACCTGGGCCCCACTTCCAAGACCAGTCTCTGATCTCCCTGCCTACCTTGGTGTTTTCCACACCCCTCTGCCCTGACCGACACTGCAGTCGAAGGCCAAGACCGAAATCCATCCAAAACCAAACCAAAGGTGGGTGGTCATGCAGGTCCCCTCACTGTCTTCCTTGGCGAGCCACACCGGCAGAGGCCATCCATTCCTCTTCCCCTTTTCACACCAGTTTGGGTTCTTCCTCCTCAGCCCAGAGCAAGCACATTTTTCACATTACAATGAAAACATCACAAGGATAACCCAAGTACCACCAACTCATGAACAGACAACCAACACGGAGTAACAGGAGACCAAGCATCCAGAAACACTGCAACCAAGGAACCCTGAAAATGTGATGCTGAGCCCATGGAATTCGTGCCCAGAGGCCATGTGTTGCTGACTCTGAGTACTTGCTACACCTGGCCAGAAAAGGGAAGGCAAAGTGTCGGCCTGGGGTGGGGAGGGTGATGCAGTTTTCTAAGACGGAAGCCACAGACCTGCACTTCAGACAGGTGAGCCACGAAGCACATGACACACATCTCAGGAAGCCCATGTTGGGAGTTCAGTGGCTGCTGCGCAGCCCTCCCAACATGGCCCTTCCTCCAGCAAGCACAGGACAGCTAACTCAGCCTCGCTCAGCTGAGACCCTTGTCATTGAGCTAGATTCCTAACTCTTTCACTTGGACCTCATCCTCCCATGGCCCTCTCTCCCTAAAAACACACAAGTCTCTCCAGTCATGTGCTCACAGCCCTGACTCCTGCTACCCACAGAGTGACGTTCAAACTTTTCATCACAGAGTACAAGGCCTCAAGTGTGGCTGCCACTGCTTCTACAGGTGGCAGACATCTCAATGAAAAGGGTCAGAGAATAAATACATAAGCTCTGCTCAGCTCTGCCCTGTAGAAGAGCAGATAGGAAAACATGCATGTGAGCAGGCCTGGCCCATGGCTGTGGTGAGCTGGACACTGTTCTAGAGTTACTTCCAGCCACCATGGACTTGTGGAAGCCACATGCACTGATTATAGTCCTTGTTGCATGATCCAGTCTATTTCTAAAAATGTGCTGGAGACGAGTCCTTAAATATCAGGCACCTGCCATACACGCACCCTAACGAATTCACCCAGGTAGGTTTTTACTTACCTACAGAACAACACCCAGAACAGAACCAAAGGCCCATGAGATCCATGACACTAATTCTATGGAATAATAACCTTATAGGTGGGTATGCTCTGCGCATCATGCAGTGACACTTTTGAGTACCTGACAGGAGTCATTTCTTTCTGCTGCCCTGCAAGAAGCACATTCCAGATGAAAATACATAAGGCAACAAAGAGAAAGAAATGCCCTGAAGTGGCCCAGGCTACCTAGCACCCAGTGCTTGGTGCCAAGTAGGTAATGGTGGAGGAGGGGGACAAAACAGATGTCGCCTCCCTGAGACAGATGAGGCCTTGGGGGCCCTGTTGCAATGGATTTGAAAGCTCTGTCCTCCTCTCAGTTCTAACTGGGTTCTGACACAGAGACAGTGCATGGAGTGAATGGATTCTCGGTCATACTAGTGAGTCCTAGGAGCTCGGAGCCTGAATACAGCAGAATCCCGGGATACCTCCCCCATGCACCGAGCCTCTCACATATAAGTGCCACCAGCCCCATGGGAAGGATGGGTGATTCTACCCTCAGCTTCAAGAGTTTCAGGCTAAGTTTCAGCTCTGGATTTTACTGGAATAACTGTTCAACCACAAGGTTCTGGAATTAGCAATTGTCAACATTTACTTAAAATGTAAAGAAAAAGAATAAAACAAATGCACCCCAGATATAAAATCTTGCATGTTAGTAACCAATTAAAAACAGTAACATGGGCCAGGGATTTAGCTCAGTGGTTCCGCAGCCTGCCTCGCAAGCAAGCGCAAGGACCTGAGTCCGGTACCGACCCAAAAAACAAAACAAAAACAAAAACAAAAAACCAGTAACACTAAAAATAAATAAATAAAAGCAGTAACACTTTTTGGGCTAAAAGTGACTGTGGGGGGAGAAGCTCTGAACTCAATCCTAAGGCATGCCCGTCTACGACAGGCCTTGTGCACCCTTGTCTGGTTTCTAACTTGAACCAGAGGGAACACTGAACAGAACCTGAAATCTCTGCTGGTGACATAATTAATTGTTCCCCTTTCATTTACAATAAAGGCTGAGCCAGTCTGAGCAGATGGCCGACAGATGGAATGTCCTGGCTCCTAGAGCATCACCAGATTATCATCCTCAAATGTACAATTTTTTTTAGAATCTTCACACAACATATAGAACATATGGTCTTCTATCTCACAATACTTTAAAATTACTCACCTTAAAAAAACATACTAGGGGCCGGGGATTTAACTCAGTGGTTTCGCCGCCTGCTGCGCAAGCGCAAGGACCCAAGTTCGATCCCCGGTACCAAAAAAAAAAAACCATACTAAATCATTCACTTTCACCATTATCAAGAAAGTGTTAGTAGTCTGTATGATCTATAAGCTATAGATGACTTTTGCGGCTCCATCTTTTTTTTTTTTTCCCTTTTTCTGATCCTGGGGATCAAATTCATGAGCTTGCGTTTGCCAGGCAGACATGGTGCCACTGAGCTACATCCTGGCCGTCTAAGCTGTCAATGACTTTTGTAATGCTTTATAAACACACACCCATCTTTTTTTTTTTTTTGGTACCGGGGATCAAACTTGGGTCCTTGCACTGTGGAGGCAGGCGGCAGAACCACTGAGCTAAATCCCTGGCCTTACACCAATCATTTTTATGTATGCAATTACTGTGACCGTAATATTAGGAGGAAAGGTAGTTGCCATGTGAATAAATACTATTTAGTTATCAAAGTTAGGCTAACAATGGGGCCGGGGATTTAGCTCAGTGGTTCCGGCGCCTGCCTCGAAAGTGCAAGGCCCTGAGTTCGATCCCTGGTACAAAAAAAAAAGGGAAAAGTTAGGCTAACAATTATGCATATACACAGAAACACAGGACAGCATCTGAGACCTATTTTTACACAGAGATTACTTTACCTTTCCCAGCATCCTGCCCAGGAAGTAGTAATGTCTGGCGAAAGAGTCTCCCACAAGCATCTGAGCAGCAGGGCTGGGGTACAGAAGCCCTTCATTAGTAGTCTTAAAGAACCCCTGGTTGGGGTTAAATCCTGACTTCAGGAGTTCATTTAAAAACTCTCTGAAAATACCACCACCATCGATTCCGGCTTCATCCAGGCCATGGGCATTGAGCAAGTGCACACGGATTCGCTTTTTTAAATCAGGTTCTATTCAGAAAGGGAGACAGGAGAGGAAAGATGTTAAAAGGAAGTTATAAAATAAACTGTCTTACAGATCTTAGGGAAGGCTACTGAGACTGCTAGGGACATTTTCCTAGAAGGCTCAACAAGGCAGTAATACTAAAAGGCGATGATTTCCCCCACAGCGTATGGGGCACAGAGAGGAAGCAGTCCCTTTCCACTGACACATCAAGAATGGAGCTGGGAAGCGCAAGGTCCCAAGTTCGATCCCTGGTACCAAAAAAAAAAAAAAAAAAAAAGGAGCTGGGAGGAAAGCAAGGGTTTAGGGAAAAAAGCAAAACCATCCACCAAACCTTAAGGATACAATAGCCTGAAACATCTCAAAGGAGGGGAGCGGGATTAGGGACAAAGGATGGTACCAGAGTGGATCATCATTCCCCAGAAAATTCAGAGACCTGACACTGGGGCTCTAGAGCCCCAAATGCAGCCAACACACAGGACCACCAGCTCTGCTGTCCACCATGCAGGCACCAGAACTGTTCCTCTCCAGACCACCCCAACCAAGAACAGCAATGCAAATCTGTGACTTTGGACTGGCCTCTGTGTTAATACCCACACCTCCCCAAGGATCCGTGAAAATCAAATCCACACTTTTGGCTATAGCTCACCCCCACCTCACCCAGGGATAACAACAGTCACCACTGATGGCTTCACCAGCGAGATGTGTGCTAGAATTTTACATGATTACATCAAGGCCCCTAATAACTATATGGGTAAAGAAGTATGGCCACTTTGCAGCAAAACACCTAAGGGCAAGAGAGTTTAAAATTACTGTATTTATGCTTAAGTCACAAAATTGACACTATAATGACATGAATATGTTTCCTATGTACAAAGCCTAGGCTCTGGCGCACTCAGACATGGTCTCTCTCCCCCCCCCCCCTCCAGGTACCAAGAATCAAACTCAAGAGCTTGTGCTTGCAAGGCAGGCCAAGCACTACTGAGCCCAGCCCATCTTCTACAATCTTTTTTTTTTTTTTTTTTCATCTTCTACAATCTTAACTACTATTCCTATGTGAAGGACATAGTTTTCAATGATAATTATATTCTGTAAGCATACTATTTGCATCTATTTTGGTCAATATGATCACAAAATACATTCCAGATAAAATGCCAAAAGAAATCTAATCAGCTAATTACAGATGCAACACACAAATACATTTGAGTATTTCCTTCCTTTACCGTTTCATAATTTTTTTGAGACAAACAGTTCCACTATGCAGTTCAGGCTGGCCTTGAACTCACTATGCAGCCCAGGATGATCTCAAATTTCAGGTGATCCTCCTGCCTCTGCCTCCTGAGTGCTGGGAGTACTAACCTCTCAAATACTGGGGATTAAATGCAGGGCCTTTGTACTGAGCTTTATCCCTATCCCTTAAAAATTTTTATTTTGAGACAGGGTCTCAACTAAGTCACTAAGTTGCCCACCAGGCTCTCAATGTGCTGGGATTACAGATGTGTACCACCACACCCAGCTTTAATACCCAATTTTAAGAAAGAAAGCATTTTCTTGTCATATACACTATTTCACAAACTGATTGCTAGTGGTTAGCAGGAGTAGATTTTGTAAAAACTGTAAAGTGAAAAACATTCTCTACAGGAAATGCTCAAACATGGTTCAAGGTGGGAGCCCCTCCAAGGGCCAGGCTCAGAGGGAGCGTGTGCATGGCTGGAATTGAGATTCCAAACTTTCCTAAAGTTCGCTTCTTACACAGTAAGATGCAAGAGTACAAAAGTGCTTTCAGCATCAAATCTAGCCTTGGAGGTTGGTGACACTACTTGTTTCCAAAACGAATTAGAAATTTCTAATTATTAGTAAAAAATTTAATGGAAGAAAACAGAAAAACACATTAACACAATTTTAGCTTATTCCAGTTCTTCAAACAAAACCAAACCAACCAACCAATGTATGTACGAGTGCGGAGCCAACCGTGGGCCTGGGCAGAGGCTATGTGCTGCATCCCAGATGGAGGGCCAGGCAGGGCACGGCCCAGAGCAGTGGCCCCGAAGCCCCCATGACACTCCCAGGAGGGAACGGGACAACTGCTCTGCGCTCTCCATGCCACTGTCACACCCACGACAGCTCTGCTGCAGGGCAGAGCAGCGGACAGCGCAGTTGGTGCCCCCAAGTGAGTCTAACGCCACCCAGACCAGAGTCATGGGCAGCCACCCGCTCCTCGGAGCGCCACATAGACGGCTCTTGTAATGGTCACCCGAGCCTGCAGAGCTTCCTCCTGAGACACAGTGAGACAACAAGCGCTTACAGGGACCAACTTTAATGACTGGATGCCATAGGGGATAATCACATTGACTGATTGTATGTAAATGATTAGCCAACAAAGCAGCTCAAACCATTTCTCTTAATTAAATGCTCCATGATATTTAATTTCCCTAGCAAAAAGCCAAACACGTTTAACACATGATTTAAAAACTCTTATTCATAAGGCCTAAATTAGATAGTATTTATAAAAACCCTAACCATTATAGCATAAGTATTACAAGAATTTTCCAAATTCTTGTAATCCTCATGCAATTACCAGTATGCACTAGAAAGCTCCTGAGTAATTTTCAAAGCTGAAACTTCATTAGGAAATTCAGGGCTTGTTATAGTTGGGCAGCAATGTCTTTAAAAACCACATACATGAAATAGATTTACAATTAATTTAAAACTGACAATAAGCATTCATTTTGGCCAAGAAGGGCACATACATGTTCCAGTGGAACATGGTGCCACTGCTTATGGCTCACCCCAGATGCGGCTCCCAGATGCAGACAGGGAATCTCACTCCTCAGGAGCCTCCCACAGTAAACACTGTGCTCTGCTCTAAACAGACCACCCATCATGTCACATTTAAGGTTTTGACCTATTGTATTTTTCCCCTAGTGTTCAATCACAAAGCCAACAAAACTTGTACACTTACTCTACACACTGAGCAAAGGGTAAATGATTCTCCCCAGGTTGTCAGAGCAAAAGACAAACACAGAAGATACAGAAATGCTGCATGAGAACCTCTGAACTCATGTTGGAGGTGCGTAGGACCCCAAGGAGGCATGCTCACCTACAGTCCCCAGCTAGACTGCCAGGCAGGCAGGAGTCAGGCTGCCTGGTTTGCCTCACACAACCATATAACATGGAAAACAAAAGTCCTGGAACTGAATAGGTAAACAGTTCCAGTCAACTTTCCTCCACCCCCACCATGGATAATAACAATTGGTACTACACAGTGGAGGTTCTGTTTTCTTAGAAGAAAACGAAACTATTTCCCTCACAGAAAAGGAAAAGGAAACTGCTATTTTGTATCTAAAAACCTACCATTAGCTGAAGGTCTGATACAGCTTTCCCTTCAATATAAACCATGAAAATGATATTCTACAGTTAAAAATGTTACTTTACTATGTAAGCTGATAAAAGGACTTTTTTGTTTTTTTGGTAACAGGGATCGAACTCAGGACCTTGTGCTTGTGAGGCAGGTAGGGAAACCACTGAGCTAAATCCCTGGCCCAAATAGGACATTTTTAACAGTATCAAATGGTAACATAAGACAAAGCATGTTTTACTGACCTCCAAGTACTACCCAAATTATTGCTATGGTGTAATTCTCTTTTACTGTTTATAAAGAAATCTGGATTGCATTAGCATTTATTTCAGTATATTTCATGTGACTTCAATTGGTATTTACACAAATAGGCAGCAAATTAAAGTTTAGAGACAGAGAATGATGGGAAGGGGGGAAGAGTTTCTAGCCTTTAAAAAACCCAATAAATTAAAGGACTCTAGTGCAATAACTGCAAATTTTAGGAATATTATTTGATAATATACAGCTCCCAAATTTGATCTACCTTTCCTGTCAGTTTTAAAGTTATTCTATTTTTACTTTTATTTTTTTAAAAAGTCATTCTAGAGAACCAGGTATGGTAGTGTACACCTGTAATCTCAGCACTCAGGAATCGCAGGACGATCACCACGAGTTTGAGTTCAAGGCCAGCCCGAACTACATGAGCCCATCTCAAAAAAAAAAAATCATTCTAGAGCAGTGGTGGCAAGCCTACGGCATATGTATTGTTTTTCTTTTAAGCTGAAAGATGTTAATATACAAGTTGTTAATATGTGAGTGTTAAAACCTCAGTATTCAGGTTTAACAGTAGTGTTGGTACTTTGCAATAAATAAGAGGGTTTTGGGTTGTAGTTTGGGTACTCATCTCTAAAAGGTTCACCTTCATGGTTCTACAACATGATGATGGACACAAACTTTTTTTTTGGTACTGGGGATCAAACTTGGGTTCTTGCGCTTGGACACAAGCTTTTTAATAAACGTTTTCTAAAATGACTGTCCAGCTTCCTTCTGCCATTCACAAATATACAAAGAGAATTATACAATACCATTTTCTGGGGAAAGTTTGTCATAAGCATCTTCATAAATATAGTTTCTTCTTATTGTGACATTAATTCCATCCAGAAATGGACCATCTCCTTGAACTTCTTGCTTATCTGCATAAATCAACCTTTGAAAGATCTAACAAACAGAGGAAATTGCAAGGTTATCAAAACAGATTCTTTGTTATAATACAAGCAATTAAGGAGAGAATCTGCTAAGTTTTCATTTTATATCTCCATAAACTCCTAAAATTTAACAGCCAAGATAGCAAACACTGATTTTATCAATAAATGAATACTATGAATAATACCAAATAATATGAGTGAATAGCATTTCCTTTTGTTTTGTTCTGAGATACGGTCCTTCTTACTATGTTGCCCAAGTTGGATTCAAGCTCACGTTGATCTCCTGCCTTAGCTTCCCAAGTAGTGGGATCACAAGCACAGACCACCATATCTGGCTACATATTTCTTTTTTCCAGTACCAGGGACTGAACTCAGGACTTTGTGCCTGCCAGGCAGGCGTGGTGCCACTGAGCTACATCCCTGGCAAACTCAACTCATTCTTCTTTTCTTTTTTTTCCTGGTGTCAGGGATCCAACTCAGGTGCAAACTTGCAAGGCAGGCACGGTGCCACTGAGCTAAATCCCTGGCTCTACATATTTCTAATACTGCTGCTTTTCCCCATGTTATAATAAATTTTGAAAATCCATGCTATAGTATATTTTCATTTATAAATCTTTATAAAAACATAGGGGTGGAGGGAAGAACGAATTGCCCTGTAAAGTAGCACATGTATGTCAATGGGAATAACTCCACAATAATGAAAGTTAAGTAATCTTTCTGATGTTGAAAATCCAGCAGAGGGAGCTCAGGAATTATGTTCTGTGATGTCTGTGGTGTCTGTGGTTTTTAAGGAAGAGACATCAACAGCGCCCAAAGCCACTGTCTTTTGTTCACCCTGCAGAGTGCACAGGCTAAATAAAACCGTCTTGAAGTTATTACCTGAGCAAAGAACCTGTTAACTTCCAGACATATTCTAAATACAGCCAGAGAATAGAAAGCATTTTAAATGAAATTTGGAAACGAGATATATGTAAACAAAGTTTTATACATTAGTCAAAATCAATTGGCAAGGAGTTATGTGCCCATTTCCTTCTCACAAAGTAGTAACTTTCACATGAATGTACAAAAACATACCTTTACTAATTTTGCATTTTAAAAACAATGCAAATTCACCACAGCAACGGTAGGCTCCCCAGACCCCCATGAGCCACTGCCAGTACAGCGAGGCCTGAGACAAATGCTTTCTATCTATACACAAAAGCTGGGGTGGGGCTTAGAAAATATCACAACCTACTGGAAAAGCATCAGTGACAATACGTAGGGACTTTTCTTGACATTAACAGGCTGAGCTCTCACGAGGTGGAACAGTGAGTCCAAACAGAAGCCATACCTTCACACGCTCCTCAAAGGGGACCACGAAGGGCAGTTCTGTCAGGATGGCGAGCTGCCGCTCCTCAGACACCGACAGTGGTGGTGACTCCACTCCCACTGCAAAGCATGGAGAGGACTTATTAGCTCATTTCTACTTTCCCACTTCCACTGCTTGGTGCATCATTCTGAAGACCGCTAATACCCTACCAATTCCCCTACCCACCCTCATTCCACACGCACACCCCAGCCCAGTCTAGCATCTCTGAGGTCACTCCATGCACAGGCACTGCCCAGGCAGCGCAGGGTGGGGCCGAGGGCTTCAGTGGCTCCACTAACAGAGCCTTGCTCCACAATGGAGACCTCTGTATCAAGGCCCACGAAGCCTTTGAATACAGCCTGATGAAGTGAGGTCCGAGAGTTCCAGAGCTGAGGTGGGATGTGCTCTGGCCTGACCTGGCCTAAAAGGAACCAATCCTCAATAAATGTGTTCCCACAAGAGAGCTGAGCACTCTGGCAGCTGAGGCTTGGCCCTTCCAAACTGTCTTCAACCAGGAGACAAATCCACCAAGATTTCTATCAGTTTATTAGATAATTTTAAAATCTGTTACAGTCCACATATAAGTAGAACCTATATAAAATGCACTTGGTTGGAGTATTGCATACAAGGTAAATGCACTGCATGCTCACTAACTGCCAGGCAGGTACCAGGGATCGAACTCAGGTCCCTCCACTTGTGAGGTAGGTGGCGGAATCACTGAGCTAAATCCCTGGCCCTTTCCATTATTTCTAATGGCACTAACAGCAGTGGGATCTAAGGGAACCTGAGTTCACGTATGATTGCCACTACATCCCCTCTTCAGCTGGGCTTTAAAAGTACATACCTATATGAACATATTTTTTCCTCCTCATAATTACTCTACCAAACCCTCACTGGGCTTGGAATTCTTCAAGTTCAAGCTCTGTGTATCACTACAAAACAAATTCACTTTGGTAGCTGAGGTTCAACTAGTAGGAAATTTTTAACTATCAGCCACTGAAAATATCAATCAAGAATTATTTCTGTATGTTTGAAGATATAACAAAACTTAATAAGAACTCAGTAAATTCTCAAAACACGGCCATAAAGATTAAAATCTGACCATCCTTAAAAAAGAAGAAAGACAGGGCTGGGGATGTAGTTCAGGGGTGCTGCGCCTGCCAGGCAAGTGCAAGGTTCTGAGTTCAATCTCTGGTATCAGGAAAAAAAAAAAAGACAAACCATGGACTAGGACAAAATATTCGCAAATCACCTGATAGTGGACTTTTATGCAGAATATATTAAAAACTTTCAAAGCTCAGTAAGTCAAAGGCTAATGCATGAAAAATATTCAGTATCACTAGCTTGGAAATACAGATCAAAACCATAACTGCACACCCTTTGAAGTGGCTGATATAATTAGGTTACAGAGCATCCGGATGGCCCATATTGTTAGTCAGAATACCACATGGGGCAGCTACTCTAAAAAACAGGTTTTCATACCCCGACCCCCTCCTCGTACTGGGGATTGAAGGTCCTTGCGCTTGTGAGGCAGGTACAGGGCCACTGAGCTAAATTCCCAGCCCGGGTTTTCAGTTTTTTGTAAAGTTAAGTACATACTTGCTACATGACTCAAGACTCTTACTTCCTGATATTTATCCAAAAGGAAAACAAAAATGTATGTTCACAACAGCTGAAATCAGCAGCACCAACAACTAAAGAATGAACCCACTGTCCTTGCACGGGGGAACCCATTAGCAAGCTTTGGCACACCCACATAGTGAAGTTCTGCAAGCCACAAAAGGGATCACCCAGGTCCATGCGGCCCAGGTCTTGCACTGGATGGAGGAGCTGTTCACAGGCAACCTGCAGATGATTCCACTAAAGACCTTCTGGAAAAGGTGAAATGACAGGGTCAAGGAAACAACCACTGGCTGCCAGGAGCTAGGTGGGGAGGTGCTGACCCCAGGGAGCCCAAGCTAATTCTTCAGTGTGTCAAAACTACTCAGTGGGGCTGATTCTGGTAGTGGGCGTAAGACACTCATCTAGAGAGAGAACAACATCCTGTAGAGCCAGTGCCGCTGTGCACATCTTGGCTCAGTAACCCTGCGAAGGCAGGGAGCGTGGTGGTGCAGGGGCACTCACCCTCCAGAGTGGACTGCAGTGGGCCGATCCTCCCCATCCGACGGAACCTCCACACGTGTCTAGACGCTGGCACGTACAGCTGGGTGACCTGTGAGGACACGTCACGCTCAGCAACGCCATCCCCGCCTGAGCAGGACCGCCGCCTCCACCTAGCTCTCCTGCCCAGCTCTCCACCCTACTCTGTCCCCACTCATGCTCGGTGACCCTTAGTGCTTTTGTGCTGAACTGCTAATTATCTGCCTTACTGATGTATACTATCTGGGTGTAGTGAATCACCAAAGCAATTTAATAGCCATGTTATGAAGTACACTACATCATGCTTAAAATTAACAACTCTTTACCAATATCAGATGTCTACTTCCTCATAAAGCTGTTTTTCAATTGACTTGGTTAAATGAGAATCTAAGGAAGACAGGTACAGGATACGTTTTCTTACATCTCATTCCTCTCATTACTTATCTTGGTCTTTGTGATTTTTGATTTTATTTTTTTGGTCCTGGGGATCGAACTCGGGACCTTGCACTTGCAAGGCAGGCGCCACAACCACGGAGCTAAATCCCCGGTCCCTTCTGTGATTTTTAAAGAAGAAATGAGCCTTTATCTCCCATAGTTCGAGTTGTGCTCATTACTCTCTCACAGGATTATCAGCCTGCCCCTTCTTTTTGTCCCAATGTAGTGGTGCACTTCCATCACAGGACCCTTGGCTGTGACCACTGCAGAGACTGCTGCCACCCAAGCGCAGGTGTGCCAGCCAGGGACAGATCGTGCTGAGATGAAGAATTTAGATCACAGTGTGGCCCAACTGCGTCCCTAGCACACAGACGGACACATCCTCCCATCTGCCAGGGTCTTTCCCAGGCTCGGGTTGGCAGGCCCACCGAGGAGCTCACAGATGGGATGACCTAGTCCATACCCTCCCAAGTCATCAGCTAGAAAACACTCCTAACAGAAAGGTCAGTCACCATGCACTATCTGGCCAACCCTGGAAAGGCACACCGAAAGCTCATAACATTTCTCGGTAAACAGTATTCAGAGTAATGAAGTAGTCCTCTATATTTTTTTAAATGAAAAATATTAAAAAGATCTTTCAGTAACACCTTATCTGCTTTAATGTCTTCTTGTTCTGACAGCCAGTGATTTGGAGGACAAAAGTTTCTCCTGGTATCCCTGGACTTCAGCATTTTCACTAGATTGGTGATAACCTGGAGAAAGAAAACAGGACCATGTGATACAAGTGTTCAGCACCACAGTGGCACACGGTAAGTGCCACTGCAGCCTGGAACCAGGGATGCATGCCACTGGGATGGGAGAGGCCTGCTATGGATGCATGGAAGAAAACGGGCTTCAGGACTCCCATAAGTGTAGCCATGGAAGAGTCCACTCTTGTGACCCCAAGAACAGAGTCAATAAATTTAGGAAAACTAACTCAAGTATGTGCGTACAATGATGGCCTTTTCTTTCGCTCTTTTTTTGGTAATGGGGATTGAACCCAGGCCTTCCGCACTAAGCTACGTTCCTAGGCCTTTTTTTCTGAGACAGGGTCTTGCTGTATATTCCAGGTTGGCCTTGAACTCACTATGTAGTCTAGGTTGCCCTCCAACTTGGAGTGATCCTCTTGCATCACCCTCCCTCCTGAGTGCTGGGATAACAGGCATGTACCACCACACCGAGGGTGGCCAACCCCAATCCTTTAAAAAACTTGGTTTTTTTGGTACCGGGGATCAAACTCAGGACCTTGTGCTTTCAAGGCAGGCGGCGGAACCACTGAGCTAAATCCCTGGCCCTAAAAAACTTAAAAAAAAAAAAAATTTCTGAGACAGGTTCTAGGTAAGTTGCCCAGGCTGGGCTCAATTTGTGGTCCTCCTACTTCAGCACCATCAAATTTGGCTGACAACAGTCTGGAAAATTACAGGGGAGCTGGTGCTCATGCTATAAAACAAACCTCATTCGAGCTGCAGTAAGGGTCAGTCAGCTCCATTTCTGCCACCCTAAAAGCTTTTCATATTTTTCTGAGAAACACAGTATCAAGGGCAAGGGGACCAGCACACCCTGGGTCTGTCTCACATCTTCCAAGAAGAAATATGACTTCCACATCCCTGCCATGAACCTCCAATTCCACCAAGGTTTCCTCAGCAAGCCTAACCCGACACCATGGTACCATCTTCTTTGCTGCTCTATAGAAACAGCTTCCTTATGGGGTGAGCGTGGATATAGGACTGGTCTCTTCTTGGCCCTGGTCCCCCTCCTGTGTGGTGACTGACTTCCTTGTGTAATAGGGACACTGGGGATGGCCTCAGGTTGGCTCAGGCTGACCACAGGATCCACATGCAATGCTGTGCTGACCTCACACCCTCTACTCCTGGACGCCAGTCAGTTACACTTTTCAGAAGCAAGGACTGGCTCTCAGGGACCTGTGTCACGTTACATGTCCCATCTTTGTGGGGTACGAATTCCGGAGGTCCCCACAGGGCCACCTCCAGAGCGCAGCACCTGCTATTCCGACAGCAGGATGGGACGTGACCTTGCTGAACAAGCAGTCAAGCCACCTTCTGTTCTCAGCCAATCAGATCAGCATTCAGTGAGCTTGGATGCACTCACTATTAACACTGCCCACTCTGGGCTGACTCGAAGACTCCACTGCATTGCATCCTGGTGCACATGCACAAGAAGTCTGTACAAGGGGGCCAGGGATTTAGCTCAGTGGTTCCACCGCCTGTCCAGCAAGCACAAGGACGCCGGTACCAAAAAAAACCACAAAGCCTGTATAAGACCACACTGGGGGCCAGGCTGCCAAGTCCAACACAACTCACTCGCCCCTTTCCACTCCTCTCCATCCAATCCCTGCTGATGAGGACATTTATTCTTCTGAGTTGAAAGTCACATGAATAAGGCAATTAATGCCACCATTTACATTCGTCTTTTAAATTATTGTGACACTAAACGTGAAAACTTTCAATATAGGATCTCTTCATGTATGTTCATATTGTAAATATAAAAAAGGAGCAAATCACACATTGTCTCTAAAATGTCCTACTACAAAGATACTCTTTCGAAAGGGCGGGGCAGGAAAGAGGAGGAAAGGAGAAAACACAGAAGTGACCTGGCTCTGAGATGTATCAGGGAAGAGGGCAAGATAGAAGTCATTGTGGGAATGTAGACCTCAGTGACTCAAGAGTCAACAGTGAGCTTGGGCAGAAGCTGTGTCCTGGGCAGGCATGCCGGGGAGCACAGCACACCTGACTCACATGTCAGAAACAGTACCTAAGTCATAGTTGAATCCAATTTTGCAAAGTGAGGTCAAAGTTTATAAAACCTGCCCAAGCCAGGTTTGGTGGTGGACACCTGTAAATCACGGCACTCTGGGGGCTGAGGCAATAGTACTTCAGATCTGAACCCATTCTAGGCAATTTAGTGACTCAGCAAGTATGTCTCAAAAAATAATGAAAGGGCTGGGAGTGTACTCTGTGCAAAGACTCTGTGTTCAATCCCAAGTACTGCAAAAATAAGATAAAAACTTGCCCAAAGTGAGTTCTCTGAGAACCGATGCTGCAGTTGTCAGTCTGAGCTGCATGTCGGGACACCTAGAGGGTTGGCGAATGCCCACATAGGATGGACCACCACCACAACCAATCCCCTCATTCCTGGACAGAGCCAGGCAACAGCACCTCTGCACAGTTCCCACTGAATCTGACTCCCTCGGGCAGACCTGAGAACCAGTGTGGCTCACCACAAAAGGTACACTGAAGGCGCAACCTAGTCAACATCAAATAACTAGCTGGGTCTGGCTTCACAGACACAGTTCTAGCTGCTCTTATAAACACAACTCTATTTATTTGATGTGTTAACTCGCACCACCCCCACATCAGGTTCTTCCAATGCTAATCAAAACTTCAGGCTAAATAAATGCTTAGAAACTGATGAATTAAATAAATACGTATTTAGAAATGCACACAACTGTCACACATGCTATATTGTGAACCATTTGTATTAAATGAAACTCCTAAGCAGGTTTCTCTTAACCACAGTATTAAAAAAGTCAGATAGGGGCCGGGGATTTAGCTCAGTGGTTCCGCTGCCTGCCTCGAAAGTGCAAGGTCCCGAGTTCGATCCCCCGTACCAAAAAAAAAAAGGAGATTATAAAAAAGTCTGACAGATAACTCCTTATAAACACACAGACCCTTCACAGGAAGCCACTTGACAAGTGTCCAGATAAAGATTCGACATTAACTCTAAATTAATGTCTTCACAAGATCCCACACATCTGAGGGTTCACTAGCTAGGCTGATCACAAGCAATCTCACTAACCAAAGGTGGGAAGTACCCTTAAGCACAATCTGGGTTCTCATATCATAATGCAATACAGCATTACCACATGAAGAATTTATACATACATTCAATGATTTAAGGCCATTTGTGTTAAATCACAAAATTTCTGAATGGAAATGACTGAAATTTACCATATCACAACCTCAAGCAAATACGTATAATCCATGCTTTGAAAGACAACTGGAAAACAAAATGACATTATAACATAAAATAAAAACCTCTTTGATCTTGACTGTGATATATAAAATTTGGCAAGTAAAACTCAACAGTGCAGCTAATTCTTTGTTCCTCACAGCTTTTTATTAGTAAAAAGATGGACAAAAGGGATTAGATCCATCCACCAGTGGTACAAGCCACCCAATGGGCCAGTCATGGATATACCATCAGTAGTTCAAGCTGCCTGGCTGCAAGACATACGAATCGCGGCCCTGCCATGAACATGTTAAGAGGCTCAGCACAAAGCATACTTAGCAGTACATATATACTCAACAGGTGTTTCAGTTGGTGATGGAAAAGACGGTGATGTGGAAAGATGTATCAAACGAGAGCCTATCTGATCGATCCCTGGCTTCACAGTGAAGAGCATTAAGAATGAAGTCTAAGGAAGGTGAGGACAGCTTCCCCCAAGGAACGGAAGGTGCGATGACTTAGTGGTGCTCCATCCTCTGGCTCAGCCCCACAGCCTGGATCTTCAGTCTCTGCTGACTGAACGCCCTTACTTCCCCGTGGTGAGGCAGGAAGAGGCACCCTGCCTTGATCCTCTAACACAGGGCTGGACACCATGGGTTTGGAGAGCGACAACAATGACCCCAGCCAGTTTTTAGTCACCACCTGGTGGGTTTTTTTCCCTCGGTTGTTAAGACAGGTATATATATTTTTTTGGTACCGGGGATCAAACTCCAGTCCTTGTGCTTGCGAGGGCAGGTGGTGGAGCCACTGAGCTAAACCCCCAGCCCAAGACTGATATATTTTGTGGGGTTTTTTAAATCTCTTTTTTGGTACCGGGGATCGAACTTGGGTCCTTGTGCTTGCACAGCAGGCGACAAAGACCACTGAGCTAAAACCCCGGCCCAAGACTGATATATTTTGAAAATAAAATCTATTTTACACAAGAAATAATACAAAGAATCAACAAATGGGGTTACATTAAATTTTAAAAAGCTCTGCACAGCAAAGGAAACAAAGATTGAAGAGATAGCCTACAAACTAGCCAAAAAAAAGTTGCCAGCTATTCTTACAGAGGATATACTACCTAGAATATAGAAAGACCTCAAACAAATGACCCAATCACAAAATGGACAAATTAAGTGAACAGATACTCTCAAAATAAGAAGTACAAATGGCCAGTAAGTACATAAAAAATGTTCACCATCCTTAGCCATTAGTGAAATGCAAATTAAAGCAACTCTGAAATCCCATCTTACCCCAGTCAGAATGGCTGTCATCAAGAACACACCAAGAACATCAAAAACCAACAAATGCCAGTGAAGATGAGAGGAAAAAGAAACACTTCCACATTGCCGGTGAGAATGTAAACCAGCATAACCACTACGGAAATCAGTTCAGAGATTCCTCAAAAAACTAAAAATAGAAATTCCATTTGAGCCAGCACTACCTTTCCTGGGTGTATTCCTGAAAGAGATGAAGATATCACACTACAGTGAGCCATGCACAGCTATGCTGACAGCAGCACAACTTGCAACAGCTAAGCTCTAGATGTGGCCGAGATGCCCGTCAACAGATGAACAAATGAAGAAAATGGGAACTGTCTTTTGCAAGAAAATGGATTGAACTTGAGCCAGTCATTTGAAATAAGTCAAACACAAAGTTAAATGTTGCGTGGTTTGTTTTATACGAAAAACCTAAAATATAAATAAATGAGTAAAAATACAGGAGAGATGAGAGGACACAAAATGGCAGACTTCCTCAAGCTGGAGAACAGGAATCAAAGAGAGGCACAAGATGGGGGGTAAAGGCATCAAAGAAAATGCTATATACATGTATCAATTACCCAAGGTGAATGTAAAAACTATGCACTGAAAACATACACTAATAAAAGAAAATAAAGCACTATAAAATTACTTCCTAAAGCATCCATTTTAATTAGCTGACAAAAGATAAAAACCAACCAGTCTTCCAAGGTAGGAAGCATATGGCCCAGCTCTATGAAGGCAGAAGCTGGGTACACTGCTCTGCCCTGTGGGTGACACTGAAAGGTCGGTGGCTGCATACAAAGACACATCACAACAGGCTTCCCTACCTCCTCAACAGCTGCAGTGATTATAGCTATAAATTATACTTCAAGAGTTTATAAATTTGATAAATGCATAAATTGTTTTAGTAGTGTCAGTAGAGGGCCTGGAGACTGACCTCCATTCTTGCAGTCACAGAGAAAGATGACTCTATCCACTTAGAGGGAGCGCGCTTTTCGGTGAGCGCTCAGTGCCTCTCACACAAATGAGCTGGGGAGCCACTGGCGATGGAAATGGAGATGGAAATGGAACACAGGAGGAATCGGGGCTGTCACCAGCAACTCTGTGAGAAGCAATGCAAGCCAGGAAATCACTGGCAAAGGGCACTTACTGTCTCTGTTTGTTCTACCTTGGATTCTTCATCTCCATTTGGCACTGTAACATATGACAATGCAGACTGAACCCCACTGCAGCACCTCCTGAGGTGGGGGCCTCCAGTCAGCAGGGCACCCGTGGCACCGTCTGCTAGAGCAGAGCAACTGTACCTCAAGAACACAGAGGCACAGATTGCAGAACAAGCAGCCACTCTGGTGTAAGTTCTCACTTTTTCCTAATAAAGATCATTTTTTCCTTAAAAGAAAAACAGAAGCTGACTAGTCATGAATTATGTTCTAATGTTGTAATGAACAAGAGATCAGCTCAGTAGCAGATAATATAAAATGGTTTTGGTAGATTTTTTCATTAAACAACAGGAATCCCTTAATTTTATTCTAAGCTCAAAAGATTGAAAAAAAAAAAAAAACTTTCACATAATTCTTAAACCCTTCAATGATTACTAAGAGGGCAATGAGTCACTCTCAGGCATATTAAAAAAGTTCACTACAAAAATTTAATCTAATGCTTAGGCAAAACAAAACAGGCCCAGGGTGGAAAATATCTTATATAGTATTATTAAATTCAGAGAGTTCTATGTCCTAAAGATAAGCCTATTATATGAAATTAAAGAGCTCTCAACAGGTGCTATAAAACAATGAAATTATCTGCCACTGTACACAGAACCTGGTATCCTACCTAAGAGAGAGTGTTACCAGCAAGGACCCCAGGGTTTAATTAAATACGTACTGACAAGAAAACACATATGCCACCATAACACCCACACCTAGGAAAAGCTTACACAAGAATTATATGCCTCACATAGGTGTGATAGCTTATTTTTAACTAAGAGAAACTGCAAAATTGTCAATCTTCGAGAAAGGACATATTAAGAGCTCAACATGTGACCTTTAAAGTTTACTTAGGAGAGATAGGTAATTAAAACAAATTGTGCAAACATGTATTACATCAATCTGCACAAATTATGAATTCAATGATGCATTAGTCCTGTGTTCATGCAATCAAAATATTATCAGTTACTTTCACTGCAGCTAATGCTCATGCTCCTAAGTGAAATGTGTTGTAAAATCGGGGAGAATGGGCTGGAGAGAGACTCTCGTGGACTTGTAGGATGAATAAGCATTCCTTAATTAGCCCATCAGGTTAAGTGCAAGCATTAATGGGCCTTTCCTAAAGTCTAGCTTGACATCTTTCTCCAAACATGGCCAAGAAGAAAGTTCCATTAGCAATATTAATACAAGCTTAGTTGATCATTTTCATTCAATTAACTTCTTTCAATTAAATAGATAGCTTGACAAAAGCAGTGATAAAAGACCCGAGGGGACAGCTGATGACTTGAGCTGAACATTAGTGTGCGAGGGGTCGCTGGTACTAAACGGACTGTAAATCTAGCATTCAATTTGGAAAACGCATTTCTTCTGCTCTCACTCCTTTAATGAGCAATTTTAGCTGACTAAATGTGTTTGCTGCAGAAATTTCATGGGAAGTCAAGCACCCTTTTCTCCTCTTTTTTTCTCCCCCAACAGTTCTATCTTCAGCGATGGTGATTTCCTGCCAACATTTTGGCCATGGCAACTCATAGATCCTTTCTGCTTGGTTAAAAAGTGAATACAATTGCCTGCTGCGCAAGTACAAGGACCCGAGTTTGATCCCCAGTACCAAAAAAAAAAAAAAATACATTTTAGAGTAATTTATATACAACTTAGATTAAAAATTAATGGCCAATTAATGTTTAACATTCTGAAACAAAATCTACAAAAATATTTGTGAAAAACAAATATGAAAATATTTTAAAATTTTTATATTTCACCTTGGCACATAAATCACTGACAATTTACAACAAAATAAAGATGACCTTTCTGTAAAGGTTTTTTTTTTCTTTAGGTACCTGGGATTGAACTTAGGTCCTTGTGGTTGCAAGACAGGCGGTGGAACCACTGAGCTAAATCCTCGCCCCTTCTTTAAAGGTTTTACAAATTAAAAATTATTCTTTTTTTTTTTTGGTACCGGGGATCAAACTCAGGACCTTGAGCTTGTGAGGCAGGCGCCGGAACCACTGAGCTAAATCCCCAGCCCCTTAAAAATTATTCTTGAGCCAGGTATGGTGGTGCGTGCCTATAACCCAAGCACTTGGGAGGCTAAGGAAGAAAGATCACCTTAAGTTCTAGTTTTTTTGGTACTGGGAATTGAACTCGGGACCTTGGGCTTGCGAGGCAGGCGCCAGAACCACTGAGCTAAATCCCCAGCCCCAGATCGCCTTAAGTTCAAGGCCAGCCTGAACTGCATAACAAGTCCCTGTCTCAAAAAACAAAACTAAACAAAACAAAATTCTACAAACAAACCTGAATTTCTATTCTTCTGAAATGAATAAAGCCAAAAAAAAATCTATATAATATCCAATTCAATTAACAAAAAAATCCACACACTGCATACCTTGAACAACTGAACCCAGCGCTTCTGTTCCATCTGAATGCATTGCTGCATCTCAGAGCTAGTCGTGACGCCGATGCTCCGGAAGGCTGCGCTGTACTCTTCCCGAACCTCTGGCTTTGTTTCTGGGTAGGCCAGCTTGATGATCCCCAGGCAAGCATCTCGAAGGCAGCGAGACAGCACGACCAGCTCCTCCAGCGTGAAAGGCATCATGGAAGATCGTCTCTGACCTGCGACTGAACAGAAGCCAACTGTGGAGCACAGGTGTTGCATTTTGTTTCTCCATTTCTCAACACACAGCGAGTGGCTGCAAAAGCTTGGAGCCTTTCCATGTCTACAAAAATGGACACACTATGTGGACAGCCATAACCTGATTCCTCAAAATGCTTACCTTCTATGGGGTCACCAAAGAATTCGTTATCATGTATGGAAATCAGCGAATGACTGAACAGAGAGCTGAAGAGGTAAAAGAGTGGGATGATTCGACTTGAGTCTTCAAAAGACATGGGAGAACCCCGGGATATCACCTGGAGCAATGGCACTGTGGACCTTAAATCAGGCAGAGGGAGAAAGAAATCGTTATTTCAGTATCAACTTTAGTTTAGGAACTCACTTAGAAATGGCATCAGACAAACATGTGCAGACAGTAACGTTTACATTCAGAAACTACTCAAAGGTAAAGTCACCACGAAAATGTAGGTGGTGACTGGCACTGATGAGTAAAGACCTGCACACCAGCCCACTGTCCTTCCACCCAGGGGACAGCCAGTGACTGAGAGCTGCTGTCAGAGACACGGACTCCACTCTTTTCCTTCAGTGCACATCAACAAAAGCCACTCCTCTTTCACACTGAAATTTATCCAGCTCCCTCCCTTCGGGAGTGTTCCAGATAATTCTATCCTGAAGCCAAAGTAGACCCTGCAGGAACAAAGCTTTCCTCGTGTCACTGGGCCTCTTTTCTCCTGTCCACAGTGGTCAGCACCTCCACGCCTGCACCTGGTGTCCTCGGGGGCCAGTGAGCACCCCAACAGCACCAGAGCGGGGCAGTCTCTGGAGAAGATGGGATTGTTTCACTCATGAAGAGTGATGATCAGCAGGACATAATCATGCATGCCAGTAATCCCAGTACTCACTTGAGAGGCAGGGGCACGAGAATTACAAATTTAGGGCTAGCTGGGGCTACACAGTGAGACTCTAAATTTAAAAAGCAAAAACAAAATACACCAGAGCCATGATTTATTCAGTTTACTTCTCTCATGTGAGTCTGGTTCTTCCTCTCATGCAATACTTAGTAACAGGTGCACCATGAAGTTCTAGGTCCCTGTGTGTGCTGGATCAGTGGTGAGTTATGAGATCTGTGGATGACGCCCGCCTCCACCTCCTGAATCTCCACTCCCACAAAGCTACAGGTGTGCACTGGGTCAGGGACCAGCACTTGTGACAGCAGAGTGGAAGCTGGCCCACCTGATCTGCCAGGGGCTGTGAGAATAAGGACCCTGAACAGCCTTAACTGTAAGCCCAGACAGAGTAGAGGAGCGGCACCACCAACCTGCACAGGTCTGACTCAGTCTGTAGTCAGAGGACTTCTTATCCAGCCCCCTACTGAACAAGGTCATAAATGAATGAATGAAAGCCATCCATCCAAAATATAGCAGAGCCACACAAAAAGGGACAAAGGGCAGCTGCCCTACTTTACTGTGAAAAAGATCTAGGCAGAAAGATGAGGGCAATTAACCAACATTAACGTATTTGTTCCCTTTAATCCTGAGAGGTGAACAAAGGAATTAGTCTTTTTCCCTTTCATAAGAGAAGATAGGATTGGCAAGCAGGGACAGGCTTGCCAGACAAATGGAACAGGCCTTGGGCTCTCTGCCACCACACTTCCTTCTCTAAGTGCTCAAATATTCCTTGGGAAACAGGACAAGCTCAGACTTAGGAGCAAATGAGAAGTCCAATGTTTCTTGTAACGGAAAACTGACTTGTAACTTAGGGAAGTTGTCTGAATTACTGATCATCAGAGACCAACCTTGGCAGGAGGGTGTACACTCTCTAGGGACCCCTTCAGTCTGCTACACTTCCACAGCTTCCTGCCCACTCCAAGAGCCTCCTCCGGGAGGGTCGTATCCTGCACCTGTGGGTCGCATGTGGGCAGAGCACCTATGAGGTATGTCTAGGCAAGAGAATGTCTAATAGGAAATAGTAACCAGATGGCTGGGAATTCCCTCCGCGTCAACAAGGACACAGAACCATCCTATTCCAATAGCAAATTCTGAAAATGAAGGACACTAACCAAAACATCACTTGCAGAGTGTCGCAGGCACCCAAAAAGCTGCTTTCCATCCACCTAGAAGACAGCCAGGCAGCTCTGTGTGCCTGGGGTGAGGAACCTGCATTTGAATGTCTCCCTCTGCAACCCTTTCACTCCCTAGAGCTAAGTCCCAGCTGCAAGTCTGTCTGTGCAACCATTTTCAAATTAAATTCAGTTCCATTTGCAACAATCAAGCACTTCAATTTGTTTGTTTTTTGAGACAGGATCTCACTATGTAGTTCAGGTTGGCCTTGAACTCATGGTGATCCTCCTCCTTCAGCCTCTCAAGTGATGGGATTACAGGCATGTGACACCACACCTGGCCAGGCACTTCAATTTAAATTTTCTTCCCAACAGTAAATATGATCAGACACATACTACAAATGTAGCAATATACTAGAAGTTTCTTCAGGGATTTTATTTTAATAAATTAAACAAGTAAAAAGAAGCACAAATTCTCAACTGCTATTTAAGAAATGAGGTTTTCAAAACCCTTATGACTTTACCTCCTTATACAATATTAATAATTTAATGTAATGAACAATATCTCATTTTCCTTTCACACATCATGACTCCATTTCCTTACCAAGAGACAAAGGCCATAAACAAAGACGCAATCACCAGGCAGACCGTGTCAGTGTCTCCGTTGCTAGGCTGGGGTACTCAGAGGTAAATGACAATTTCCTGTCCTAATGGTCCCAATCTCCCTTCACCCTAAATAAACTTGTCACTCATGAAAGCCATGCTGGCACAGTCAAACTGCCCCCAAACCAGAATACAAAACAACAGTCCAAGCCTTTTATCTTATATAGGATTTCTCCAGATATCAAGGCCTTCTGAGTGTTTTTCATCTCTCTGCTTTCATTTCTCACTGCTGATTCAAGGAAAACTATAGAGTCTTTGGGTCTCACCAGCCACAGGGGCATCATTAAAAACTCCCCTTTACTCACTGAAGTTCATTAAGATTGAATGAAAACCACACAAGTAATCCAAAGAAACTGTCCATAAACTGACTTTCCTCTGTAATTAGAGGTGGCTTGGGCTGATGATCTGAACCCTGGCTTGGTACACAAAGGGTGGGAGGACTGTGACTGATGAAAGAGCACTGGAACGAGAAGGCCTCTGCATGCCACACTGGCTTGCTGGACCCTGACACTTCATGTAAGCGTTCTATACCTGACATGTCACACAGCTCACGCTGTCTCACATCTCCTGTACACCTGATGCATTGCACCATACATTAGACTGCAGGGCAGGCAAGTGCAGATGTGAATTCTGGACATCTGACCCACCATGTACGCACGCTTCCAACTGCCTGTCCTCTTGCCGTGCACCAAGATGGGCCTTCCCTAAGCAGGACGGCCTGGCCCCCAGCATGTGGCTTGTCATGGTGACTGCTTACATGACAGTAAGCAAGACACACATTTATAACTTAGTGTCTAGTTAAATGAGTTACAGACTTCATCTTCTGATATCACAGTTCTGTGGGATTAGACTGCTAACTGATGAGGAAATTGTATAGTACTGTGAAGAAATGGGCTAAGTCAGTTTTCAGGGAAGATTTCTAAATATGACATTCGTACTTGTTATCCATTCAATTAAAACATATGCTTATATTTTTCCTTAAAAATTATGAGAAAAGGAAAAAATAGAAACAAAGTCTTTGTAAATAGGGAAGGGTGGAAGGGGTGAAGGGAGAACAGGGAATGGGGAAGAGATAAGAACCAAGATACATCATGTACAGGTAACAAGTACCCAATGATAAATGTAAATGTACTGTATACCTAACATGTACCAATAAAAGAATTTAAGGAAAAAAAGAAAACATATGCATATAAAGATGCTGGTTTTCAGGTTACATGATGATTCATATGTGGGAAATCAAATTATTTCAACAAAGTTTTAAAAATCAATTTCTACACTGTGTTTTAAAAATTTTTTAAAAACAAGGTTTTGCATGTTACCCAGGCCCACCTGGGATTCACAATCCTTGGGCCTCACCCTTCCAAGTAGCAGGGCTACAGGCAAATGCCACATCTGGCTTCTACACTGTTTAATGTTTATTAATGTGGTTAAACTTGTTTCAAACCTATTTTCACTGTCAAAAGCATACGGTACTAATGTCCTATGGAACGAGGACTTTCAAATGACAACCATTTAAGAACATTTACCTTCAGATAAAGCCATACTCAGCACTAATTTTTCTTTTCATGAAATTAAGGCTGTTCAAGATTATCTTCTAATATAACATAACCTCAGAACATTCTTTTTTGGGGACCCCTTTCGGCACATCCGTAACACATACCCTGTGATCATCCGTGTAGTCATGGAAGTGATAAGAAACCAAAGGTGCCGCAGAAACCTGGCATTGAAGGCTAAACTGTAGAGAAGCCTGAAAAGAAATGGGGGCAAATGAGAATAGCTGCAGAGAGCAAATATTCATTCATCTATTTTTGGGGGGAGGGGTGCCGGGGATCAAACTCAGGACCTTGCACTTTTGAGGCAGGCGTTGGAACCACTGAGCTAAATCCCCGGCCCTTCATTAATCTATTTTATTTAGACCCCCCCCCCCCGAAAACCCCAGCTATACACTGAAGACAAGATACACTTCAGGGCCGGGGATTTAGCTCAGTGGTTCCAGTGCCTGCCTTGCAAGGGCAAGGTCCCGAGTTCGATCCCCAGTACCAAAAACAAAAGATACACTTCAGAAATTATCCACACTAACGCCACAAAACCACACACCCAACAAGGGCTGCCTGTGAGCGCCAAGTGTCACTAAGCTAGGGCAGTCCTGCACTGAGCCCAGAGGCCCACCCACCCACAGAGGGAACAAATGAGCTAGCCCCCCCACCCCAACATGTCATGTTAAAGAACTGTAATATCATCTAATGCTCACACTAATAATCCACATTAAACATGTCTAAAATACTAAGTACGTAATATTTGACTTCTTGAAACAAAGAAAAATTATGTTCAAGACTTCAAAAATAACTCTAAAGATGTATTTCCTAAAGACTGAACCTAGGACCTTTGCCCTAAACTACCTTCTCAGCCCTTTTTTTTATTTGGGGGGAAGGTTTCCCTGGGGACTGAACTCAGGACCTTGTGCTTGCCAGGCAGGCACGGAACCACTGGGCTAAAAAAAATCCCTGGCCCTCTTTTTCCACTTTTTGAGACAAGTCTCACTAAGTTGCTAAATTGCTCACACTAGGCTTGAACTTACGATCTTCCTGCCTGCCTTGTACTTCCAAGTGCTATGCTGGGATTATAGGTGTGCACCATCACATTCAGTTTAAAAGCAGATTTTAAAGGGTTTTTTCCCCCTTAAACTCATCTTCTATAATATCAAACTGATCAAGACCTTTACTTTTTTATTTCATTTTTTGATTAAGACCTTTATGAGGACTGAGGAGAGCTGGACAATAAAGGGCTGTAGACTGTGATAGGGTACATGTTCTAGTCTCAAGGAGATAAAGTCCAGCAGTCAAAAGTAAAATCTAAACATGTGCGGTACAATCATAGTGAAAACACAGGTTGAGAATGGAAGGAAACACAGTTTTAAGAATGTGCTTTACTAGAAGCACTTTAGAAGAACCAAAGAGTAGAAAATAAACCCTGTTGGGTTAAGTACACATGACTAAGAATGTACCTTCTCACGGTGGACACAGAGAGGTATGTATCAGGTGAAAATTGGAATGGTATTGGAAAAGAATATACACTTCATATTGGAGATATTTAAAAGGCTTACTATATGCCTAATCTTTAAATATAAAATATATTTAATTTGTGTATATGTGCTAAAATTCTGGGTTTACTCTTGTGAACTTTTGCTAAGAAGTATACCCCAACAGCCACATGAAAAATAGAAAAAAGTTATAAAAAACATACATTTTCTACATGAAAGAATTCTAGTAGGTAATATTTTTATTTCTCTACAATCAAGAAATAATTCTTTTCAAAAAAATGTATCATCTAGAATAATTTTATATACTTTCTACAGGCATTCTTTAGATCTCCTTTCCAAAAGGAAACCAAACCAAACAAAAAAACCATTTCATTTCACCCATCCAGAAATAATCAGTTAATATCCTGCTATAAATCCACTCAGATACTATTATAGATACATGCAAATATATACATATATATGCATATATATATATATGAGTTCTTCCTACATTCTCTTGTAACAGTTTCCTCCTCAGATTACAATTAACA